TTTTATTTCCCTCTGACCCAAGGCTGGAGGTTGAATTTGGGGTGATCCTGGAGCTGCAAGTCTCAGTTTGACCTCACAAGGAGCCCATCCTACAGCTGGAAAAAAACCAGGTTCTCAGTTTTCTACAGTTTGCTCTTAATCACTGCAGACTGAGCTACTGGCTTAGAACAGGATGTGGATTCTGCCATGGCAGTATATTTAATAAGCTTAATTGCTGTCATCAATATGACCTCAAGAAGCACTAAAATGTATCAGGCTGCAGCAAAATTATACCCCTCTTTTGTTACCTTCGTTCTTCATGTCATTTGTGAAAAGTCACAATGGAACAACCAAGCAGAACATTGCACCTTCACAACACAGCATAAACACTGCAAGCCTAAGTGAAAGATCTGCTATAAAATAAAGAGTGGTTCTGATGAAAAGCACAAATCACCTACATGCTAAACTGCAGAAATCTGTGTAAATATACAGACTGTAAAGGCTGGGGTATAACCACTATATCAACAGGTCTTACATATTGTACTGTTTTTGCTACCATACTTCACTGCAATTATTAGCCTCCTTTTCTGCCAGCTCCAATTTTAACATACCATCCCCTTGCCAAGGCCATTTGATTAAAAATAGAAAAACATCACGTAAATGCAGGCATGTGGGGAGCAGATACAGCACAGAAAAATGGGTCACTGGAAAGACGCATTTACTTTTTTTAGGGTATTATGCTGTGCAAACATTTAGTCATGTGAATAGGTGGATATTCTCGAGTGGTTTCCTGAAATTCAAAAGGCTGCTAACAACAAAGGCACAAATGTGGCATCTTGCAAGATTCAGATCTTGCAAGTCTGACCAACTTACTTTTTTGAAAATCTTCAATAAAAAAATGATAATTAAAATCAAATATATACTTTGGGATCATTTTGATAGTTGCAAATGCTGCAGTGAAACAACAAAATCTCACGGCAGCCAGCCATCTCTTACCTAATTAAATATTTTTGTCACAATCCAATTAAAACGTATTTGTAAATATTCTGGTTTGGATAAATTTCTTCTTGATTGTTTGTAGCTGATCCTAAAGATCTATCACTTCAGGAAAAGATCTCATAAGACGAGGAAAGCTGGAAAATGTCACTATATGGAGACACCTCATCTGTTATACTGTTTATCTGTCACTTGTACAGCACCAGTTACTTGAGTAGATGCTCTGCATTCAGCTGTGGAGATAAGAAACCAAATCCTAACTCCCAAAGGAGGCAGTGGCAAAATTCTCATTGAACTCCATGGAATTAGCACTTCACGTCATATGAATTATATGGCTTAAAGATACTTCTCCCTGTATGTTCTTCTACCAATTTAGCAGACAAAGAATATCTCTTATGAAATACAATTAAGAACCACTCCAAGGAAAAATGCTCTCCAAAAGCACAACATCTGTGGCACCACCTAAAACCTGATGATCTCCTTGTGCCACGGAGATCTTGTGCCATCTCCCTGTGGGTTATAGCCTTGTCACTTTTCATCACATCCAGAGAAGGCAGCACTCTGGAGACAAACTGGAAGATGGGATTTGCAGCGGGGACACATGCTGGGAGATGAGTGGTCATATGGAATGGCAAGAGGGGATGTTCCCCTAATGAAAGCCTTGGTAGCCTCTCTCTGCTAGCTGCACCATTGTTTTGGACTGCTGCAACATCGAATGCTAGCAGGAGATACAGGAGCTCCTGCCTGGACTGGCTGGAAGCTAAAATACAGCTGGTTGAGCAAAGAAAGTGATAGGAAACACAGAGCTCTTCTGCCACCGAAAAAAGCCCTCTTTGCCTTGTTTAAAAGGAAGGCGAGGACACCACTGCAATAGATATAATGGTAGAATGAGAAAAACAAAAGCAGTAAAAGAATCCTCATTATTTTCTGGCATGAGCAATCTGTAAGGAAAATGCCTCTTGAGTAGTGGCTTGGCAAAAGGAGATTTTATCATTAAGTCTGAAATAAGAGATAATATCCGGGTGAGTAGCCTTGATGTTTATCTGAAAAGGCATTTTACTACCATTTATCACTACAGGATCCAAATTCTCAGAAAAATCTCCGCACCACTCTCTGGAGAGGTCGATAACCAAAGCACTTACGTTACAGGTAATTTTTCAGAGGAAAGGGGGATGAGAGATCACGCCATTTACTTGTGAGCACATGGGTGAGGATGAAACCAGATCTCGTGGCACCTCCGTGCTTAGCTCTCATGGTATCCTCTGCTCTTCATCTTACCTCTGCCCCTCTGCTCTTCATCTCACCAGCACACACTGCCTGTGCTGCCAGCTGCAACCTGCAGCTAATGTCCCCAGAAAAGGGGAAACGTGGTGAATATTCAAAGCCTCCCTCCTGTGGTGTCACCTGCATGTTGGACATCTCTAAGGCTGTTCCCAGGACATGCTTTACACAGCAGGCAGGTAGCCTTGCAAACAGTGAGTGCCTGGAAAAACAGCCTGTCGGAAAGACTCCTGCCACAGAACTGGGTGCAAGTCCTATTTTGGGGGTTGTTTTTTCAGCAGAAAATAGGATTCTGTTGAAAATATCACAAACTGTGGAACAGCCCATGAGTTTCCACTGGCCTCTGGCCATGACATGCAACGAAGAGAAGCAAAAAAAAAAAAAAAAAAAAAAAAAAAAGAGGAATGAAAACACTTTTTATCATTTTGTTCCTTTCGGAGGGCCCAGAAGCTGTGTGTGCTACAAGTGCCACGTTTCTTTGTTGCACTCCAGCAACCAACACAGATGCAGCTGGGCCAAGAGCTGGATGCGTTCACTTTGTGTATCTTGGATGCAAGGCTTTGGAAAATCTGTCTTTCAGTTATACAAATGGTCACCTCATTCTCTGCTGGGAGTTGCATTCCTGTTGCTTATTCTGTATTTCTAATACTGACTTTTGTAACTTGTTTAATTTCCTGAGGCTCAGGTTGGTATCATTTAAACAATGCATTTTTTTCCTCTCACAGAAGCCAGCTTTCATTTCCCAAATTTCCTTTTGTCACATAGACAACTGAGTTATTGATGGGAAACACACTTACTGATGGGACACTGGACAAAGGGAGGACATGGACCTTCTCCCCATCTCTCGCTTGTATTCATGGCAGCCCCTCATCTAGCTAATAACCACCTGTAAAATGTTTCTCCTTGGCAGTACCTCAAGGACAAAGGGCAATAATCTTGTTTTCTATATGATTTGTGTTGTTTTCTACATCTCAAGCCTTTGCTAAAACTTTTCTTTTAATTGTAAGAGCTGAGCCTCAATCTTAATCTATTTGAACTGCCTTGAAAATCTGCAATCTGGCATTGGCACATCATCCCCAATGAAGAAATTAGTGCCATTTCACAGTGTTTCTACAACTTTTGTGGTCACAACTTACTGAATTGTTTCATGAGTGTTAAATTGTTAGGTAATGACAGGGGTAATTCACCATCCTGCATATTGGTAAAATGTTATCAGCATCTTTCTTCTCTAAAAAGCTTTGAAAGGATTTTCTTTCCATTCTGTCTGAAAAGCTGCAGTGAGATGAAACAAACCAGCAAGTGTCAGAGACAGAGTCAAAAACTCCTTGAAGGCAAAGTGAAATATTTCCTCTACAGCTACCGGTTACAGGCTTTACTTTATATAAAATTTAACACAATATTAAGCTAAATACCGGGATTACTATCCCAGTTCTGCTCTTCTAGCGCTGTGAAGGTAGAGGACAGTGCCCAAATCCACATCGCCTGGGGCATCAGCAATGAGCAGAGTCCCAGCTAGAAGAGTTCCCCAACCTCAGAGATGTAGCCTCTATCTGTCTCCTGAATTCATGTCTTCAGCTACCAGCAGAAAGTATTGCTGCCTTAAAACCCACCAATGACCTTTATGCCCATGCTTTTACACTCAATTATACTACTCAACACTAATCAATAGACTCAAATTCCATTACCAGGACAGCTTTGCAGTGCATCAAGTCATCAAACTAGTTAAAACACTGGCTCAGTGGCTTTTACAAATGACTAAGTACACGGAGGAAGAATTTAATTTCACTGGGAAACTCAGAGACTAATGCTCTTATTCAGCCAGCCCTCCAGAATCTGCAAAAAGGAATGACAGTTGCGGTAATTATGATAACATAAAAACACAGCCTAATGCCAATGCCTTGGCTGAAAATATTATGTAATTGACTCCTTTCTTTTGCAACTATTATAACCACAATGTCCAAAAATAATAACTTGCTTTGTACATAATGCAGCATACCCCAAAAAAACTTATATCCAAGTCCATTTTGGGTGCAGTTAGCACCATAGGGTGACATTCAGCCACTCGGGACTGGTCAAGAGTATAGGAGCCATTCTGCTGTTTTACCTATGTAAGCCTGGAGTAATGTTAGCCAAGACATCCATCTGTAAAGCATCGTACAATTTAAAGCACTAAACAGAGATGTAAGCTCTCGCTGCAGAGAGAGAGCATTGCCACAGACCCAAGATCAGCATAATCCTTTCTAGAGGGTCCTATGTCGTCCATTTGACAAGAATGGGAAAAAAGCAGGACCAGGTCCTCACGGCAAATATCAACTAAGTTCCTGAAGGGCCTGGAGGGAAGAAGCAGACCACCAATATATGTGAAATGAAGACAAGGACTTCTTACTTCACAAGAGTATTTAAGTGCTTTAAGTCCAAGTAGATACCCAATTTTTCACACATCCATTGATTCCTACCTAAGCTTTTGGTCAAAAATCCATATTCCAAATGTTTGTGCATCCCCTTCTAGCACTATGGCCAACATGGTGCAGCATTTCCCTATATCTTTATACAGAGACTCAACAGATTTGTTCATGAGATTGAAGACTCATGCCTGGTGGACAAGTATATGGATTGTAGGAATAAGAACACAGAATTATTTAGTAGAAAGTAGCATACTACATAGCAGAAAATCTATTTCCACCCATGAAGGTGAATGATGCTCATTGTCACGAGGGTTTCACACAGCAGTGATAGTTGCTTACCAAGGGTGTCTTGCTGCTTGCTCACAGGTATATCTTTTATTAGGGTCTTTCTCCATCAAATTCCGAATAAAGTCTTTAGCTGTAATAAATAAAGAAATGAAATACAAAATTATTTCTGCAGAAGAGGCTTATGAAATTAGTTGGAAATGCCTGGAGAAAATCTGCAATAGGAGTCTCCTGTTGTTCACTTCAAGGAGCTGAACATACAAGGAGCTGGGAGAGCATATTGCATGTTTAAAAAATCAAGTTACAGAGGAAAATGGACTCCCTTGGGCACAAAGTAGTGTGGTTTTGGTCAGCATTAGAATGGAGGGGAGGCTGATCACAGCATGGAGTGCATCCAGTAGATTCAGGAGAGAATAGTTAAAGGGGCCCAGCAAAGCCAAATATGGCCTGAAATTCCTCATGCTGCTTTAGGTGATGAACATTCCCCCAGAAATGCAAAGGGCTCTGCCAGGAGACCTTCATATTTTCTCTCAAAATCCTGACAGACTTAAAAAAAACTCTCACCACATATATTTTTAAGAAGTCCATCCCAGGCGTATCTGGATCACAGATGTAAGCAGCCTGAAATGTTGTTCTATTAGAAAATCACAGAATACGGTCAACTTTAAAAGAAAGCAGCTGTTTTTAAATCTCTCCTGCCTTAATTAACAGCATTAATGAATCTGAAAACTGTCCCTCTAGGGATATTTTCACATCAGAGAATTTCATCTCATTCCAGAGAATGAATTCATTTCATCTCCTCTGTGAAATGGCAGACATTTCCCCATTTTTGGATGGAGCAAGAACACCACACTTTTGTGACCTGTTGAAGGCTACAGAGCACAGCCTGGCAGTGTGTCTGTCTCTCTGCTAGAGTTATTAGAACGGGCAAAGCCAGGTGCTAATGAGTTAAATGGCTCTGGACTGGGGAGGAAGCTGTCTTGATGAGACCACGCAAGCAGCGCTCACAGTTACTAAATCAGCATCTGTGCTCCGAAAACAGGACAAAATTCCTTCCTTTCTCAGACACTTGGTAGTATTTTCCCCCTGCTGTTTAACCTTTCCCCCTCATTTGGAAGCCATTAATTTCTTGGGATTGTCTTTCCCCTATCTATTGCTGGCTCACTTCGGACCAGCAGCACAGTTTTGTTAACAGACCTGAAATAGCTTGTGTTCTATTATTAGTGACACATAAAGCATCTGCATTTTATTTGAATGTGAAGGAAAAACTGAACTGCTTTGTCTTCTTGGGGCTGAAGGATAATTCTGCTGTCTTAATCTTTTGTTCCAGCTGCGCTTTAGAGCTTTGTGCATGATTGGAGTAAATGGTACTTAATTTGCTCTCCTGAAAAAACAACCTCCCATAACTATTTGAGCCAAGTGAAACGCACATTCCTAGTGATCTTCAGTTAAAGGAAATTACACATTAAATGGATGGTTCATTTTCATGCATGACAAAGGATATCTGTAACAGGTACAAATGCATGTATGGCTGTTGCAATTAAATTAGCAGCAGCTTCTTACCAGACTCAGAGATGTCATCCCAATACGGAGAATCAAACTCGTACTCTGCCTTAAGGATCTGCTCAAAGAGTTTGGAGTCATTTTCATCGTAGAAGGGGGGATATCCACAGAGCCTAATCAAGAACACAAAGAGACATGTGACACTCTGACCTGTCTCCAATGAGAAGGTGAAAAAGAGAGCGAAGGAGAAACTCGTGTTTAAGACTTAAAGTTAAGTAGGTAAATACCACCTAAGAGATGTCTGTTCAAGAATAGGTAAAGCCATGTTTTTAAGATCAGCACCATCTTGGACAAACTGGCCTATCCAAAGGAATTTGACATGGAAACCCTAGTGAAGCTGGCCCTATACTCAGACACACACGGATAGCATAACCATTCTCTGCATGCATCTGAGAGTCTTGATGCAAGTGTTTAGGCAGTGGTATAGTCACGAGTCCTCATATCTTCTCCTACACGTGCAGTATAAGGCTCTTTCATGGGCTACACTCAGCATTTAGAGAGAGTCAATCATCTCCATTCCTTTAAGCACAGTCTTTGCACATCTGCAAGTCTTATTCACACTAGTTTAGCTACTCAGGTTGTCCTTCTTGATTGTTCTGATCTGGCACCTTACACAAGCCACCTAGGTTGGCCTTGTTTTCTCTCAGACTGTGGAGAGACAATGCAGTAGCTCCATAGACCAACAGGCACCACAATGCCCTAGAACCAGGGACACATCAGAGGTGAATATCACTTACACAACCACAGGCATAGCAGCACAACAGGCTTTGAGCACATCCAGGGGTCTCTGTGTTGTGCAAGGCACCCTAGCTGTGAAGGAAGGTTCATTGAGCAACCTAATCTGCTTCTTTTGGTCTTTTGGGTTGTAGGAAAGAAAACTTCTGATCCTGAAAACTGTTGAAGAACAGCTTCCTTTATTTTGTCATGCTGTTGGAACTCTGGACACATCCACGGCAAAGCACACACACACACACACAAAAAAAAAAAAAAAAAAGGCCTCCTGTCCTTAAGAGCAATGCTGGAGTGGGCAAGGGAAGATATATTCAAAATATAAGCAAATATATACACTTCTATAGGATCACACCAATCTACTCCAACTACAGCTTACCGGCCTTCTCTCTGTCCACAGCCAGTTTTTATGCGAGAGGTAACTGATGTGCCCAGTGTGGCACCTCTCACCTTTATGAATTAGCAATTGTCACATCTTCTCTAATGGCTCAATGGTTACACCAGACAAAAATAAAGGATAAAATGATGACCAGTGTATTTCTGATGTCAGAAAAACTTAGTCCTGACTAAGAGGAAACTTGCAAGCCCATGCCCAGCTCTAAGCTTCTCAACAGTGTACGCAGAGGGAGATCATGGTATCCCAGCCTGCTGATCCTCTTCATGCCAACTCCAGTCATACTCCAACCATGTCACTGCCTAAAGAGAGGACACCTTCCTGCTGTTGTTATCCTTGCTGTAGATGTGACCTGCCATCTGCATGGACCTCTTCTCCAGGATGAGGTTGGTGGAGGAAGATGCTGGTGTAAAGCATGGCAAAGAGCCAAGCCGAGCTATCACTCAGACAGCAGGACTCATCTACAGACCATACCAGTCTCTGCTTCCCAAAGCTCCAGGAAGAGAATGTTTGGAAGAATCTCTCAACTTCTGTAGCACAGGGTGCACAGGTAGCCCACAGACCTAACACTGCTTTGGGGGATCTTCCTCCCTTACTTCTAGAAGTCATTTTGTTGTTCCTGTATTGCCTATCTTGCCTAAGGTTAACCATAACCGCGGTCCTAAGTATTTATAATCTGACTTCAGAAAACCTAGCCCCAGCACAAGCAGGACATCTGCAGAATGTCAGATTTACCTCGAAGGCTGGTCCAAGTTTTGAACAAACCATCCCACTCAAGGTTACACAGGCCTTTCTTCTCTATTATTTCTATAAAGAGATATCCCATTTTTTCTCCCTTATCTCTAGTCTATGATATAAATTGTTCTTCCACATACTTCCCTGATATTGAAATGATCTTTTTGCTACAGTTTCCTTAAACCTTGAGTCAATCAACTTCAATAAAGTATTTAATTGGAAAGAAACAGCCATTAAAAACTAAACGAAGATTTAGCATTATGCTGTAGCACCAACAGACAAAAAAAAAGAAGTCAGAAATTAAATAGTCAAGTTATTTATAACTTAAAGCCAGCCTGCTGCCCTGAAGGTTATTTGAACCAAGTCAATACCTCAGGGTAAAGGAGCGATGTTTTGTTAGCTCTGAAGAGTCAATGTGCTTGATAAATAATTCAAATCCTGAGTGAGACACTGATCTCTGTCAGATCAATAGTGACCTGCAAGACCTCAACTGAAATCTGTAGCATTATAATGAAACCACCACATTTCAACTGAATCTGAAACCTGTCTGTCTTTCAAAGCAGATGAGCTCCATCACAGCCAGTCCACTGTACAGCTGCCCTCATCAAAAGTAAAGCAGACAATGTCTTACTAGGCAAGCGTTCACATCCAAAGCAAGCCTGCATGCATACTTAGCAGGTAGGTTCTTGATGAAGGTATTCCTGCATGAAACCCAGAGGTGCAAGCAAGGAATGAGAAAGGCCAATTAAAATTTTGTGCATGTAACCAAATCCTTATATCCATCTGACTGATGGAGGAAAAGAAGTTGATAATGTTGATACAGAAACTTGACCTAGACCCTGGATCTAGTTCTGCAGTATCCTTGAACAACACTGGCATTACTTGCCTTCATAGGAAAAATATCAGAGCTTAGATGCCACAGTTTGGGGCGAACACAAACGAAGTGAATTTCACCTTTGTCCTTTCCATAACGCTCAAGATCTGGGGCAGCTCATTGATGGTTTTGGAGTGCCTAGGGCTGACAGCACCAGAGCTGCAATAGTCACGGTGACAGTGGTGATTCAGGCTAGAGGAAGACGGTCTCTTCCCAAGACATGCTGAGCAATCGCTCCTGCCGTTCTTCCCTGCGGGGTTTGGTGGACTCAACATAAGAAGCCTGACAGCCCTTCATCAATTTCTTGCCTTCCTCAGCACTTTCCTTAAAGAAAATCAAAGTGCTCGGATAAAGCACTCCTTGTTAAGCATGTTCCTGCCCCGCTCCGTGACCAGACAGCACTGTACATGCAGAGTGGAGAGAGAAATAATGTGCAGTGAACTAATTATCTTGGCAAAGGTACAAGGGTGCAAGTCAGGGCTGCTGTGATTTATAGATTCTCATGGCAGCAAAACGTAGAGGCAAGCTGCCGAGCAGCACAGAGCCCGAAGGGGACAGCTCACCTCTTCTGCAACCCTGCACGGGGACACATACCCCAGCCAGAGCCCCCGAAGGGTCCTGGGTAGATCTGTGGTGAGGAAACACAAGGAGGAAGCTGGTGGAGATCTCAAAGTCAATGAATGGGAGCTGGCAGGTTGGCTGAGCCCGGCGCTGGGGCTCCTCATGCACGAGGACATCCAGTATCATGCAGAAGGACATCCAACATCCGTGGCACAACAAAGAAAACAGGCTCTTCAGGTCCGGCTCCCACCTTGCTGGTGCAAAACAATTGGGAATGGGTAAGCCATCAAAGGCAGCTTTCAGGAGCTTTATTCCAGAAGGTGCTGAGACCATTAGCAACGGCAAACCAACTCGTTCTTTTGTGACACCATCACCACCGGACTTTATGCCCAGGATGCTTTCTCTGCATTCGGAGTGACAAATGGGAGCACTTAAGAAGTGAGTACTCCCTGCTAATTACCTTGGACAGTTACCTGCTCTGGAGGCATCTTTATATGTCTCATGCAAACAGGTCTGAAGTGAGCCAGGGTTAAAATTGAAGGGTTTACAGTTGGACTTGATGATCTTGAAGGTCTTTTCCAAACACAACAATTCTATGATTCTATCACTGGTGGTCACCCCCAGGGCATTCTGGCATGAAGAAAGGCTGCAAATCAAAATGTAGGCTACTTGTGGTTCACTAGTTTAAAATAAGGTTTTGGAAGATACAGAAATGTTAGCAATACTGAGCCTACACTGGCTTTGCAGTAAGGGATGGGAAAGCTCCAGCAATAACCCCCTGGCAATTTATGGTTGGAGGAAATTCTGCTGGACTTCCAGAGACTTGGACAACTTCCAAAGTCCATATTAAGCTTTTATTTAATTCTTAGAGTATGAAAATCCCACTGAATTCATTTCCATCTGCTGGGAGATTTCTGTGTGAAGAAAACGACCTCACTATGAGAGGTTCTGCTGATTTTCTTTAGATATGCAAAAATAAACTTTCTGTCTTCAATTTGAAAAAAATCCTCTGCTGTCCTTTGGGAGCTTCAGTCAGCTATTTATTGTCATCATCTTCTTGCAGTGTCACCCAATCAAAGCTTTCCAGAATTATTAAGCTACTTTTTTTCAATCAGCAACCTCTTCTCCTCAGTCTTTCCTTGAAAATGAATAGGATGCAGATAAGGAGGACACAGGTGGAAGTATAGGAGAAAGATGTTGCCAGAATTCACTTCTGGAAACCATCAGAAAGCACAATGGGAATGCAAGGAACTCCTTTTCCTCAACAAGAACAGAAAGCATACCCATGTAAATCCCCATTATATTTCAGGAGGTGACACAAAAGACTAAATAACCTGTTTGTGTGGTCAGTGTACAATTTGCAATGCAGGAGATCTTGAGGGAAGTTTTACATACAAATTTATAGTGAGAATAGAGGAGAAAAAATCAGTAAGAGCTCAAAGACATAAGCAGTCAGATCACACTCAGAAGAGATATATGGTTTGGGAAGTCATCCAAGAGCTATTTATATTTATATGGGTGAACATATGTGTTTTTTCTCATTTTGGAAACAGACCCTCATGCCGTCTGACACTCGTGCCCTCACAAAACTGCACTGCCTCCAAGGACACATCAGCATGGGGAATAAAGAATAAAATAAGAAAAAAGCAACATGAAGGGATAATTTAGGGCTTATTTTTCCAGTGTTCAACTGCAACATTCGGAGTAATCCCAGTATTCACATTTTACCTTCACTAATTCTCCTTTCAATTCCAAACAGGTAATTTAGTTCTCACTTTTTCTCTTAAAATCCTGGGTCATGCTAAGGGAGGCTAGATACC